AGGACCAGGGTGCTTGGTGAGCTCACAGGGGAGCAAAAGACACCAAGATGCGGTTGTGGCCACCCTTCCCTTTGCCGTCACCTTCCTTCAGGCCAACCTACCCTTTACCTGTGTTTTCTTCTGCCTGGTTTTGATGGTGGCCTCGGTGCAGAGGTAGAAGGCAGCGATGCACTGGGCTTCCAGCCGCGAGCTGTCCAGCAGGGGCACGAGCCGCTGCAGGTCCTCCGCCGTCCGCCCCTGGATGTTGTCACTGCTGCCCAGCATCTCGCAGGCGAACTGCTCTGGGTCCAGCGAGGCGATGAACGGCTCCACCAGAGCCAGAGTCCCCGAGCGCTCCACCTCCTTCTCAATTTCCTTGTTGGTGGCCAGCACCGTGATGGCCAGGCACGCGTGCAGCCGGATGAGTTCGTCGTCCTTTGAGAACACCAGAGGGAAAAGCCATTCTGCTGCCCTCTTCTCGATCATCAGGCGCTGGTTGGCCTGCCCTCCGTACATGGCACAGTTGGCCAAGGCCATGGCGCAGTGCCGCAGCACGATGGGGTCCGTCCAGCGGCACCAGTACAGGATGGCATCCAGGCCTCCGTCAGAGATGAGCTGGAAACAGGTCTCCTCAGTGTGTTTGAACATGTGCTCCAGGATCCCAGAGACGCTCTGCACCAGCTGGGGAACATCTCGCTCCTTGGCTAAGTTCAGAATCACGCCCAGGCCGATCCGAGCAATCCGATCCCTGTGGGAAGGAGAGACACAGGAAGGTGAAGGGGAGGTGGATGTGCAAGGAGTGAGAACAGTGACTTGCATGTGAACTCCCCCATGCTTCAGTGGCATTTGTCCCAGGACAGACAAGTGTTTCCCTGTGGGACACAGGTGCCAGATACGCAACGCGGTGAGATGCAACAGGCTGTGTTGGAAGAACTGGTGTTGGAAGAACCTATCTGGGTCTGATGGAAGAGCTTGTGACGGGACAGGACATGGAGTGCACAGCCCAGGGCCACCTCACTGGATGTTCACAAGCTTGAGGTAGGACATACATAGTAATTAACAGGTAGGGTAGGCTAATGCCAGGCTGGAAATGGATTTGCTGTGTCAGCATTGCTGGAGGTGTGTGAACTGCTTTTTGTCGGGGGGTGAAACTTCTTTGTCCCTAAGCAGTGCTGTTAGGACAGGGCTTTCACACCTGGCTGAGCAGCCACACAGCCCTGTCCACAGGGACGAGTGAGTGTCAGAGATGCCTGTCCTGGGATGGCAGCTGGAGGAAAGCTGTTTGTTTCCCCTGTCCTGTGCTCTCCTAGAAGAGGACAGCAAGAGTCCAGGGCAGGTGGCCAAGGGCCACCAGCTGCTGCTCGGCCATGGCTGGCCTTGGGAGCCCTGTGCTGCTAGGATGGTCTTAAAATGACACCTGAATGGGGCTGTGCCCTGAAAACACAGTGAGGAAGGGGTAAATCAGGATCATAGAATGGTTTGGGTTGGACAGGACTTTAAAGCTCATCTCATTCTAACCCCCATCCGTGGGCAGAGACACCTTCCACTAGACCAGGTTGCTCCAAGCCACATCCAACCTGGTCTTGGACACTTCCAGGGATGGGGCAGCCACAGCTTCTCTGGGCAGCCTGTGGCAGTGCCTCACCACCCTCTGAGATGGGTTCTTGGCTGCCCTCCCATGAGCTTTCCTGAGGTGAGTAGCAGCTCCATCTCTTCCCTTAGCACCTGTTTGGTGCTGTGTTGGAGCTGCCTGGTTTGTGAGGCAGTGCTGGCACAGATGCCCCATGCTGTGCTGCTCATGAGGGCAGTGCCACGCTTGGTCCCCAGCGGTAGTGGGGTGATGGCACACCAGCCTCTGTGCTGGCAGGCGGGAAGAGCATTTCTGGGAAACCTGTGACCCACAGGGCTCATGCTGACCTTGGGGTGGGTTTGACAGGAAATGCTGTGGAGAGCTCTGGGAAAAAAAAAAAAAAAGCCCTCAGCCTGGGTCTGGCTCCAAGCCCAGACTCGGACATGGAGCTGGATGACAAACACAGCCCCACCAGGTCCCTGACTCCCAGAAGCCGTAGATGGAGCCAGGGCTGGTCCAGCTCCCAGCTAAACACCACTGCTGCTGTGCACAGAGTGGAAGAGGTCTGTAAGCCAGAGGCTTGGATCCAAGGGGGGACCCCACACCTCCCTGCCATCGATCGGAGGTTGATAGTGGGTCAGGCTGCAGGGAGGAAGGGGCTTGGGGCCCATGGCTTCTCCAAGACCCTGACCCATGAGCTGCTCCTGGAGCAGAGATGGCGACTCCAGCAAATGCTTTCTCTTGCCAAGAAGCTGAGTGCTGAATGTAGACCGTGCCAGTGATGCCTTCTGGGATTAAATTCCACCCTAATGGGCTTTTCTAATTTAGTTGTCACTTATTTTTGCCTGCCAGTGCATGCAGTGAGGCCCAGGCTGGGAGTCCACAACCTTACAGCAAGAGACATCACCCAGAAAGCTGGAGCAACACTTTGGCCAGGCTCCCTCCATGTGCTTTCCAGACCCCTGGCTGGGGATGGCTGGGCTGGGGTGCTCCGAGGGAGAGCGGAACTGGTAGAGTGCATTTGGGGTGTTGGAAGGGCGGGTTGTGTGCGGGTGCTGCATCAGCAGGGCTGTGCATTTGGATGTGTCAGGATGCACCTTTGTGCACACATTTGTACACACACACACACACACTCACGCACACACATGGAGGCACACGATCCCTCCCTACCTGTGCCCATGCTCTGGCAGAGCCAGCCCAGTGCCTCTCACCTGTCTTGGGCAGCAGCACATGTGTCTGGGGCTCTGAGGCCCACCCACCAGCCAGCCCCCTCCTTATGGCTCCGTTCCAGCCCTGGTCAGCAGCAGGAAGTCTCTGAGAAGTGGCTTTGTCCTCCTCCTCCCGCTGCGGTTATGGCTAAGGGGGAGTTGTGTCTTGTCCTTGGGGTCAGATGCTCTGAGCCAGCCAGACTGACTCAGCTCGATCACAAAGGGTGGTCCCAGGCTGAGGGGGGCACCCTGATCCTCACCAGCTGGGACCAGTCCTCCCTCCAGCTGTGGGGGAAGGGAGCAGCTCATACCATTGCCTGGACATGAGTCAGGGACCCTCAGTGCAAGTGGTGGGTGTGGGGGGATATGGTGGAGATCTGAGGGGGTTGGTGCACCGGGAGCACCCACAGCAGGGAAATTTATGGGGTGTGGGTGAGGTGGGTGCAGGCAGGCCAAGGCCAGATTGGATGGGGCTTGGAGCAACCTGGTCTAGTGGAAGGTGTCTCTGTCTATGGTGTGGGGTTGGAACTGGATAGTCTTTAAGGTCCCTTCCAACCCAAACCATTCTGTGACCCTGTGAAAGAGCTGACGCTGCCTGGGGCGGTGGGGAGGGCCGTGCCTGGCAGGGCAGGGGGCTCTTTGCAGACTCACCTGTTTTCTGCCACCAGGATCTGCTCCAGGAGTTTTCCTGCCTGGCACTTGGTCTCCAGCTCGGCGGTGTACAGCAGGTTGAGCAGCAGGTCCAGGCCCCCCTCCAGGCGGATCACATCGCACAGCACCTTGGCCACGTCCCTCCCCAGCGCGGGCATCCCCCAGGCCTCCTCCACCAGGCGGAACACCTCGCTGATGGCCGCCCGCAGCCCCTCGGGGGTGGTCGCCTGCGTGGCTTGGGCGATGGCCCGGCGCAAGGCGGGCAGGACCCGCTCCAGCGCCTCCCGCACCTCGGTGCCCACCCCTGGGGAGACCCCCCGGTGCTCCCGGGCGCTGCCCCCGCCCGCCCAGCCGCCCGCCCGGCTCACACACTCGGGCACCGTCAGCCGCTCCGCGCTCGCCATGGCCAGGGACCGGCCCAGGGTGTGCAGGGAGAGGAGCAGGGCGAGCATCCGTGGCTGCTACCGCAGCATCCCCTGCCACCCGCCCCGCAGCGCCCGCAGGGACCCCCCGCTCCTGCGGGGACGCGGGTGGCCGCAGGGGGGGGGGTACGGGAGGGGGGCCGCGTCCCGCTCCCCCCTCTGCCCTGTCGGGATGCGGAGCTGGAAGCGGAGCGGGATCCGCCTTCCCCGAGCCGGGCTCAGCATCCCGGTCCCCGGGGCTGATGTCACCGGGTGCAGGCGCCGCCTCTCCGAGGAGGGGCTCGGTCCGGCGGCTGCATCCCCCTCCCGCTGCAGATGCTCCGGCATCCCCCCAGACCCTCCTGCCACCAGCCCCGGAGGGATTTAACAGAAGCGTGGATGTGGCGCTTGGGGAGAGGGCTTAGAGTGGGCTTGGCAGGGCTGGGATAATGGTTGGACTCGATCTTAGAGGTGTTTTCCGACCTAAATTCTACGATCCTATGATTGTGGCCTTTCAGTACTTAAACAGGCCTTACAGAAAAGAGGGAGAGTGACTAATTACTCAGGTAGACAGTGATAGGACACGAGGGAATGGTTTTAAACTAAAAGAGGAGTGATTCAGATTGGATATTAGGAGGATGTTCTTCCCTGTGAGGGTGTCGATGCACTGACACGACTTGTCTAGAGAAGCTGTGGATGTCCCACCCCTGAAAGTGTTCAAGAACAGGCTGGATAAGTCTTGGAGCAACCTGTTGTAGTGAAAGATATCCTTATCCACAGCAGGAGGCTGGAACTAGACACAAACAATTCCTCTGCCCAGCCTGAGCTGGGGCTTGACCTGCTGTCCCTGTGGCCCCCCACCTTGCCTGAGCTGCTGCTACGGTGGTCAGTCCACAGCAGGCAGGGACTCCCACACTGTTTTTGCAGCAGGTCTCTCCGGGACCCTCTGTGACCAGGAAGGGGGACACAGGGTGCAGGTAAAGGGTCAGGCACCGTGGTGAGCACAGCCGTGGGCACAGTGAGGCTGTGGCCACCCTGGCACAGTTTTGAATCCATTTGGTATCAGCAGGGGGCAAATATCCTTTGCTTGGTGGAAATTCAAAACAGCTCTTCTGGGTGGGCTCGGGATTTGCATGATAAAGGAAAGAGCAGAGGAAGCCTGGGCCTCTTTTGTTTTCTTTTTTCCAGGCCAGACGTGCTCAGGGCAAAAATGCTTTGGACATTTCTCGCCTGTGCTGGGAGGAGCAGCTTAAATCCTTGGCTCCAAAACCAGGTTGTTGCCAGCTCAGCCTGAGACTTAAATTCATGTTGATGTTTTGATGTGACAGAGTCGCTTTTAATCCTCTCTGAATCCACTGCGCAGGGACAGACAGAGAAGGGGACATCAGCTCACAGTGAAGGACTGGAAACAAGGCACCCCGAGTACGATACGGCGGGAGAGGCTCGGCACAGAACCAGTAAGGATTTTTCTGATAAATTATTATTAATCAGGGGTAACGATACAGCCATTGCAGTGCAGAGCAGCAGAGGGATTTGCTGCCCGGGGGCATCAAAATTCAAACCATTCCCTCAGGCTTGTCCTGACAAGGCAAGAGAAACTGAACTTTGCTTTGCTTCTAGTTTTCCTTTGCTTTGCTTTGCTTTGCTTTTTGGGAGGGATTTCTAGCCCCGGCAGCCTGGGCTCTGGGGTGGCAGGGGTTCCCAGTCTTTTACTGGGGGATCAGCCCCACCGCCTGAGCTCTCCTTGCTGGGTTTGCTCAGCTCTTGGCTACAGGGGCTCCCCAGGGCCCCGTTATCCAACTAGCCCCTCTCCTGGGATCTCCTCCTGGCACGGAAGGGCTCTCTGAGCTTTCATGGGTCTGTGGCTGGTGGTTGGGAGCCTGGAGCAGCAGGAGGGAGCTTTGTCTCAGCCGATCAGCAAAAGCAGCTCAGACATTGCCCAGCCCTTCTCCCCCAGAGCCTCCCGCAAGCCTGAGCCCTCCCAGGGCTCTTGTCCCCTGGGCTTGGTTCAACAGGGATGGGATGAAGCTGTAGTGCAGCACTGGGCTGGTGCTGGCAGCTGGGGACAATGCCAGCCCTGCCATAGCTGAGGCCAGGGGACAAGGAGGGGCATGATGGGCTTCAGGAGAAATCCTACCCCAATGGCCCATGTCTGGTGGGTGGCCTCGGCTCCCCAGGGCTTCCCAGGTGGAAATGCCTGTCTCAAAACCAAATAAAGCTCTTTTTAGCAAGGATGAGAGCACATGATGCCAGGAACTGCCTGTGTCTGAGCTGGCAGAGGAGAGACCCCTGGAGAAGTGGGCACCCTGCTCAGGTTCTTCTCTCCCCAAATCTTACATCACTTAAGGCCCAGAGCTTCACCGCTCCTGCCCCAGGGCTGGGAAGGACCCCATGGAGCTCCTGTCCCAGCAGTGCTGCGGCAGCGTAGGCAGCAGAGGAAGGATTGCTGCAGCCTCATGTACATTTGCTCCTTGCCCCTGATTAAATAACCATCCCAGAGTTATCAGAAGCTGCCAAAAGAGCTGAGTTGACATTAATCAGTAACCGAAAAGATTGGTTGGAAGGGGAATGACGGGAGCAAAATACACAGGCTTTTGTTTGCCTTCTGCAGAGAAAGTGCAGAGGGCTTCTGCCCTCCCTCTTTCCCGGCCACTCACCTCTGGCCTCTGGTCCCCATGCACAAAGGTGGCACCTGCCCCATCCCAAGCCACCATGCTTTGTGGCTCCCCAGGTCTGTTCCCAGCCTTGACATTGAGAAAGCTGAAATTCCAAGAGTAAGTCCTCCAAAGCAGTGATATTTTGGGTAAATATAAGCTCAGGGGTTTTCCCTGTGCCCTCTGAGCATTGCTCCCCCATCCTGTCTCATGTGCATTTTTGTCTTGCCAAGACCAGCCTGGGAAACATCCGGGAGCTTTAATACCATGAGAATTGCTAGGAAATAAGTGTGGTAGGACCTCAAAACTGGTTTCTGGCTCAGGCCTGCTGTCCCTCCCCACTCTCTGAAGAGTGCCCAACCTGCACACGGGCTGGGGTAGAGCTGTCTGCACGTGTGGGGAGCCCTGTCCCCCACAAACGCACCTGGCTCAGTACAGACTGCGAGGGAAGCTGAGTGGGAGATCAGCTCTGCCCCTTTTCCCCTGTTCTGACCTTGGTCTGTTTGTTTTCTCCTGCGGGGGCAGGCTGAGCAAACAGTGGATGCTGGGGCTCCGGTCGCTGCCGCGCTCCAGCCCGCACAGTCACAGGAGGGCTGCGCTCCCGGACACCCAGGATGAGGCTGCTCTTCCCTGCCCTGGCACTGGCCCTGCTCGTCACCACCCGTGCTGCTGAAGGTGAGCCTTAGCCAGCCAGGTGCCCCACGCCAGGTGCTTTGGGGATGGAGCAAGTGCAGCTCCTGGGCTGATGGAGGGGGCTGAGGAGCCTGGGCAGGGGAAGGAGGGACCAGAGGGTGGCCGTGGCCACTGGCAGCATTGGCTACACTGCAGGACAGGGAGAAAGCAAGTGGGCAGCACGTGGGTATAGATGGTGCCTTGGCAAATCCCTGGCCATCCTACAGTTGGGCTGCCAGTGTGGAGCTGGGACCCTGACACAACCTTGTGCAGGGCTCCCACCTCAGCAGGACCTGGATGGGAGTGGGGTGAGGTGCCAGGTAGCCCCTGATGGTGGGGTTGACCATGAAGAAGTGGTGTGCCCCTAATCATGATATACTCAAGTTTGCTTTCATCCCTGGGGCTGGGCTGGGGGGAGGCATAGGCCCCATTTCTCACCCCACATTACTCTTGTGCTGTGGGGTGGCTTTTGCAGACTCCTGCGAGGGCCGCTGCGATGACGGCTTCGACGCACAGCGCAAGTGCCAGTGCGACAGCCTCTGCATGTACTACCAGAGCTGCTGCAGCGACTACTCCACCGTCTGCAAGGCCAAAGGTACCAGCCTTGCAACCTCCCTCCTGGCTGGGGTATGGGGGGAATGGGGTGGCTGTGGGTGCCTGACTGGGGTAGCTCAGGGGGTCTATGCTGGGTCAGCTCTGCACCCACCTGTGTCCACAGGGTGAAGTCAGGGTGCTGCAGCACATGGGGTTTTTGGGAGCTGGCTCACTGCCACCCACAGTGTGGGGTCCATACAAATTGGATAGATTGGATAGTAGGAAAATGTCTTCACTGAAAGGGTGGTCAGGCACTGGAATAGGCTGCCCAGGGCTGTGGTGGAACCACCATCCCTGGAAGTGTTAAAAAAGAGTAGTTGTGGCACTTGGGGACATGGTTTAGTGTTGGACCTGGCAGTGTTGAGTTAACAATTGGACTTGATGATCTTGGAGATTTTTTTCAACTTTAACAATTCCATGATTCTGTAAATCCGTATTGCCTGGAAATGAGCGGCTCCCACAACCAGACCCAGTGGGAGACACTCAGGGCTTCCTGGGACCAAACTGCTCCCCCCCACAGTGACCCGGGGAGACGTCTTTGCCTTGCCGGAGGATGACTACGTCCTTGACTACAACCTCACTGTCGACTTCGGCACGGAAGAGCCCCCTAAGGCAGACCCCACGGAACTGCCCACATTCCCATCACTGGTGGAGACCACACCGGAGAGCAATCCAGGCCCTGAGGAGACAGAGCTGCCTGTGGATGTGGTGCCCACAACAGATGGGTTCGGGGAGCAGGATCCCGTGGACGAGCCTGAGGAGCTGTGCAGCAGGAAACGTTTTGACGCCTTCACCGACCTGAAGAACGGTTCCCTTTATGCTTTCCGAGGTACCTTGGGGACCTTTCCCAGGCACATGGGACATGCTGTCGCACCATCACCCCACAGCAACATCTGGAGTCCCTCCTAATGCTCCCATCTCCCTTCTCTCCCCAGGGAAGTACTTCTATGAGCTGGACAAGACGAGCGTGCGGCCTGGCTACCCCAAGCTGATCAGTGATGTCTGGGGCATCGAGGGCCCCATCGACGCAGCCTTCACACGCATCAACTGCCAGGGCAAGACTTACCTCTTCAAGGTGGGCTGGAGCTGAGCTGCAGGGCTGGGGGAGCTCCCGGGGTGGCTGGCACAGCCCCCAACCCACCCTATCTCCTCCTGGCACCCTCCATGCACCCACAAACACAGTGGTTGCCAGACATCCCCATGCCCCTGTGGCACTTCAGGGGCCCCAAGCAGCCATAGCCTCATGATGGGGCTCCCCAGTATCCACTCACTCCCCATGGCAGACCTGGGCCTGGGGGATGCTGCACCCTGACCCCACTCTGTCCCACACCCCCCAGGGCACCCAGTACTGGCGCTTTGATGATGGAGCCCTGGACCCCGGGTACCCACGTGACATCTCCGAGGGCTTTGAGGGCATCCCGAACAACGTCGACGCAGCCTTCGCTCTCCCTGCACACAGCTTCCACGGCAATGAGCGAGTCTACTTCTTCAAGGGTAAGGGGTGCAGCCCCCAGCTCCTGGGCAGAGCCTGGCACCAGCAGGACACCCCTCTGCTGCTCTCCCTTGGGGGTGTGTCCCTCACTAATACCCTGCACATCCTCTCCTAGGCAAGTACTACTGGTCCTATGACTTCGCCCAGCAGCCCACGCAGGCCGACTGCGAGAAGTCCTCCCCGTCCACCGTGTTCAAACACTACGCCTTCATGAACCGGGACAGCTGGGAGGATGTTTTCCAGATCCTCTTTGGCGGCAGGATGAGTAAGGGCTGGGGCAGCCCTGGGGGAAAGGGCTGGCGGGTGCCACTACAACCCACACAGACAGGACACAAGGGGTGCAGGCACCATGGGAGGGGGGAGCAACACCCTGCATGGGCAGGCTGGATGAGCCACCTTGTCCTGCCCAGGCCATGCACATGAACCCCCCAGGCCACAGATTCATCTCCCACAACATCCCAAATCCCACACTCCCAGCCCTTATGCCCAGCCCATCACCAGCCACCTCACACCACAGCATCACTGCTGGGGACTGTTTATTGTCACTGGAACTGAGGATGCCACAGGAAGCCCCAGCTCTGGGAAAGGGGAATGAAAAATGAAGAGGAGAAGCAGGCTCAGCAGCACAGGGTTGATCCCAGCCAAGAGTGGGGTTGGGGGCTGCTCCCGCCTCTGTCTGGCCTGTTTCCCCATCACACATCCCTTCCAGGTTGGGATTCTTTGGAGCATTCCTGTGGGTCTCGGAGCAGGCACTGGGAGTTTTCCATGGAGCTGGGCTCAGCTCACCCCATACACTGCTGCTTCTCTCACTCACCCCCTGCTCCTTTTCCAGCTGGGGCGAGTGGCCCACGACACATCAGCAGGGACTGGCGGGGGGTGCCCAGCCCGCTGGATGCTGCCATGGCCGGCAGGATCTACGTGGCCTCCCAGCAGCCCCGGAGGAGGAAGTCTCGCCGCCAGCGCAAGAGGTACAACAGCCATCGGTCCCTGAATTTGGGACTGTGGGGCTGGCTGCAAAACGACTCTGACTCCGCGGGTGTCGAAAGCGATGGGCTGTCAGGCTCCAAGTGCGAGACGCTCCAGAGTGTCTACTTCTTTGTAGGAGGTGAGTCTGGCATGGTAGAATCTGGGAATGATGTGGCACCAGGGCTGCCAGGGCAGGGGGAGGGCTCCTTTCTCTCTGTGACATCCCCAAGCACTGGGACACAGTGGGAAGGTGCCCAGGGCTGGCAGTGAGGGCTGGCAGCTCCCCACAGCCAAGAGCAGTCCTGACAGCCATCTCCCCTTCCTCCCAGACAAGTACTACCGTGTCAACCTGCGCACCAAGCGCGTGGACCTGGTGCAGCCGCGCTATCCCCGCTCCATTGCCCAGTACTGGCTGGACTGCCCGCAGCCCGGGGAGGAGAGCACCTGAGTGGGATCCCCGGAGCCGCCGGCAGCACAGCCCCAGCTAGACAGAAATAAACTGTGAGTGCCGTGCAGGCTGGAGAGCCCTGTGTGTATGTCCATACAACGGGTCTGCATGATCCTTGTAGTCCCAGATCCCTGTGTCCCCGAGAGCTGTGGTTGTCCCCCAGTCCGTGCCAGATCCCTGCTGCTGGCCCCATCCACGGTGTGACTGTGGCTGCTCAGATCTGCTCTGCCAGCCAGTCCAGTGCCTCTTCCCACTGGAGGAGAGGGACAGTGCCGGCAGCTGCCAGCAGAGAGCCATCAGGGTTAGCTCTCCACTGCCCCTGGGATCAGTCCATAGCCCCATGTGTGAGTGGCTGTGCTGAGGATAGGTGCCCATCCCGGAGGGACCCCATCTGAGGCTCTGCCTGATCTCCCCTCATTGCCTTGCTCACCTCTGGTCTCTGGCAATCCTGGCCATGGTGGTGCCGAAGGGATGACCCTTCCCTCAGGGCTGGGACCGCGCTCTGGGCCTGGGAGCTCCCGAGGGAGTGGGTGCTGCTGAGACAAGCTCCTGCTTCTGCCCTGGCTCCTGCCATGAGGACATGAACAAACCCTGACCCACTGTCTCACCACCGCCCCAAAACCCCAAGGGCTTCCTGAACTGCTGCTGATGCCCAGTGACCCTGGCTCTCACCGCTTTCCCTGGTGTGGCTGGGGGTGCCTGTGGAGCTGATGGGAGCCAGGCAGAGCTGTGTCCTCCTGTCTGAGGGGCAGAACACCAGCACTTCCCTCGGGGGGAGCTGGCTGCAGCACGGGGGGCACTGGCAGTACCTGTGGGAGAGCAGAGAGGGCAAGGCTGCTATGCCACACTGTGCCACCCCCCTCCAAAGAGCCCTGGGGCTGTACCTGGGACACGGTGGCATCAGCTGGCCCGGGACAGCACTGTGGGCACCCTGGGCAGCTGGAGCGGCCGGAGGCAGGAGGCAGCTTCTGCAAGAGCGGACAGCAGCAGGTGGGTGGTTTATGCATCCTCCCCTTGCCATGGGCAGGATACACATGGAGCCCAGGGTCCCCCACTCTCACCGGCAGCCGGGGGATGGAGGCAGATGTTGTGTTGGGCTGTCGGAGCCTTGTGGAGTGACCAGGGGGGATTTGGGGGGCGTGGGCACTCCGGAGCAAGGGCTGGCTGTCACAGGAGCTGCGGGTGGCTCTGTGGGAAGGGCCATCTGGGATGTCACCACTGGGGTCTGGGGACAACCAGGGCTGCCTGGGGAGCAGTGAGGGAACATGGCAGGGCGTTGGCAACCTTCAGAGAGCCTCAGAGCCCTGCCCAGCCCCACAGAGTTCCTGGGAGAAGCTGGCCGGCACTGAGTGTTGTCCGGCTGGGGGCTCTGGCTGTCCCATTGACCCCTTGATGCCCTGTTCAGGGGTCCCGCACATGCCCCCCATACCTCATGTGCTCATTCTCCACCACGAAATCCCGCAGGAGACCATAAAGGCTGGGCCAGGCTGGTGTTCCCTCCGAAGGGAGCTGCCTTTCAAGAGGGAGGTGATGCAGCCCTGCGGGGCCGTACCTGCCTCCCCAGCTCAGGCAAGATTTTGGAGGGTTCCCTGGGACCTCTGTGCTCCTCACTGGCACCCTGGGCAGGCACAGCTGCTGGCGCAGGGAGAGGTTTTCCAGCTTTAGGGCATGGATTTCTTCCTCCAAGTTTTGCAGCAGCTTCTCCCGGGACACCTGGGAGCATAAGGGGATGGCTCAGGGGGGTCCAAAAAGAAGGGCAGAGGGGCTCAGAAGGGTTCCCTGTCTGTAATACCCTGTTGGCCAGGGGTCTGGTGGTGACCCTCCCAGCCCGGCTGGCATAGTGCAATGTACTCAGTGTCTCTGAGAGGCAGCGTGAGGATGGAGAGATGCAGGCGACCTGCAGACAAGGAAGAGACGCGGGTGAGCTGTCACTGTCCCCCTCCAGCCCTCCAACCCATGGGGCAAGCCCCCTGTTCAGCCCTCCTCCACACATGTACCATCAGGGTGATGCCTGAGCCGCCCAGGGAGCGGGCCAGCAGCCGGGTGAGCTTGCTGTCCCGGTATGGGATGTGTGTCCACTTCCCTCGGGGTTTGGCCAACAGAGAGATGCAATGTCCTGCCGAAGGATGAGCCACAGAGGGTGCAACAGGGCTCTGGCGAGGACCAGCAGCTTGTGCTCCCCTGGTGGGTCACACAACTCTTACCCAGTGCCAGGAGGCTGCGGTTGATGCTGTTGGCCTCCACGGAGAGCTCCCCGCTGGAGCCGGTCTCCTTCACCCGCTCGCTGCCAGCCAGGTCCACGAAGCAGAGTGTGCCCTGCTTGCTGGGGCAGGTGCTGGGCTGGGGGACCCGCGTTGGTGGAGTAATGCTTTGGTGCCCCTCAACCCTTCCCCGTGGCCCACAGCAGTGCCCCAACCCCTGGATCTGGAACTGGGCTCCCTGCTGCTCACCACAGCCCCACCATTGTGACCTTGAGGAGGAGGACATGACCCCACCAGCCTGGGGCTGTTTGTACCCCCACAATGAGCCCTGGGCCCCCCAAACCCTCCCCCAGAGCAGGACACATGCTCACAGCCCGGCTGCGGATGTGGATGGTCAGAAGAGCATGGCTGCGGCTGGAGTGCCTGTTGAGGGCATGCGCTGAGGTTCGTCGCCTCTGGGATCCTGCCAGGGATGGAATTGAGAGCTGCAGGGAGGCAGGAGACCCCACACTCTGGTAGGGCACCCACTGCCCACCCCCTGACAGACAGGAGCCTGCCTTGGCTCTGCAACAGGAAGAGAAGCTGTTCCTCTTGGCTGTCATTGGAGCCCCACCAGCCCTGGGAACAGTCTGCAGGGGGCTGAATCCCCCCATACCAGGTCTAGAACCCCCTGAACATGCCCCAGCCCTGCACCTGTGGCACAGCACCTTGCAGGAGCAGGCTCACAATGGCCTCCAGGCTCTCGAAGTCCACACTGAGCTGGTTCTCCACGTAGAAGCCGCGGGTTTTGCTCCACCGCAGGGGCAGAGCGCACGGCGGCCCCGGGCTCAGCAGGTCCCGGACCTGCGGGTATGGCAGAGGGAAGGCACAGGGGCAGTGGGGCACAGAGTGCCGGCAGGACCGGATGGGGGGCTAGGCAGGCACTTACCTGCTCGTTGTAGATCTCGAGGTAGGAAGCACTGAGAGCCAGGTCTGAGCCACGGCTCCGGCTCTGCTCCAGGAGGCAGGCGAAGGACCTCTGCATCAGCCCCAGCAGGGCCGGGGACGCCGGCTGGGTCTCACTCTGCGGAGATGCCAGAATGGTGAGTGGTCAACAGTACTGGGCACCCACCTGCTCCCAGAGCGCAGGACCGAGTGGGAAGAGCCCATCCCACCTCCAGGATCAGGTGAGGTGCGGAGGGACAGCGGTGTACCTGAGTGAGGGGTCCCATCAGGGTGTAGGTCTTCCCCGAACCTGTCTGCCCGAAGGCAAAGACGGTGCAGGAGAATCTGGGGAAGATGCTGAGAGTCAGGCATGGCCCCAGGCCGTGGCACAGGGATGCCACCTCCCGGCACAGCCCCGGCAGTGCAGACCCGCCGACGATGCCCGGCGTGGGGCAGATGGAGGTTTGGGGTCCACGGGGGGCTGGCCAGGACTTACCCATCTATCGCCAGCTCCACCAGCTGCCTCATCCCGCTGCCTTCGAACACAGCCTCCTGTGAGGCGCTGGCGTCGAACACGGCGCTGAACCCAAAGGTGGCATCGTGCCTGGCCGCGCTCACCTGGGCGTGGGGACAGAGGCAGCTCAGAGGGTGCCGCAGCACCCCCCGACCCCCCGGTTGGCAGGTAGCACTTACGTGGACCGCACCGTCACCGAGGCTATGCACAACCCGCCGGTCACCTCGCCGCGTCTCCTTACAGGTCAGTGGTCGGACCCTAACGATGGGGCGTGCATGGGAGGACACAGAGGTGTCGCTACTTGTGGACTCTGGGGAGCTCCGCTGTGCCCCTGCCCCAGGCAGGGAGATCCCTGCCGCGTCCCCGAGCCCTTCACGTCCCCCTCCGTACCTTAGCACCACCCTCAGCCGCGTCTCTCTGCCCTCCACGGGGCCCTCCCGCTCCTCTCCGGGGCTCCTGTGGGGAGCAGAAGGCAGTGGGGTGGTGGGTGCCTCCCTGCTGGGGGTTCTGCTGGCCGGCACCCCGGGGGCTGGGGTAGGGGGAGCCGCAGTCATGCTGCGCTCAAGCCGCCCCCCCCGCCCACTGTGCCCCGTGCCCTGGCAGGGGACAGAGCTCAGTGTTCCCCCATGTCTCCGCAGAGGGACGGTCCAATGCCCCCAGACTATTTGCGATGCCTCCCCCGCCGGCTGCATCAGCCGGGCCGTCACTGCCCAGGTCCTGCTGCTCCAAGACGCAGTGGCCTCCCTCCGCTCCCTCTCCCTCACAACTTACGGTCTCTCCTGGCCCCGTGGGAGCGTTCCGGGCCGGCGGTCCGTCTGGGGCTCCCCGCCCCGCTCCCCCTCCGGCTCCATGCGCCCTCCAGCACCCCGCACTTGGGGGTGCCCGCAGCTCCCGGCCGGCCCCGGCGGGAGCCACCGCCAGCCGGCCCGGGCTGCCCCGCACAACCGGTACCACCGCTCCGGTTAAACATTGACCGTGCCAGCCCCGCAGGAGAGCGGCGGCCGCACAGCGGGGGGCGAGCGGGGGGGCGGGCGGGGAGCCGGGGAGGGGGCGCAGGGGGCAGGTGGATCACCGAGCCCGGGGATCCTCACGGGTCGTACAGTGCCCCGACGGTGGCGGGGGGGATACCAGTACGAGCAGTGGTGGGATTACTGGTCCCCGGGGGTGCAGGGGGGGACGGCCCCCGAGTCAGCCGAGGCTATCGGGCACTGCCATCGGGGGCGCGGAGCGAGGACCGGCCCCGGGAGCCGTCGGGAAGAGATGGGGGGGCAGCACCGCCCGCTCGGGGCGGTCCCAGCCCGCCGGGGGGGACTCGTGGGGGATAAAAGCCGGGGCGGCGGCGGCGGGGCCGGGGGAGCCGGGCAGGATGAGCGCGGCCCCGGGCACCTCCCGCGCCCCCCAGCCGCTGCTCCGCTTCCCCGAGGGGGCGGGCGGGCCGGGCGGCGGGCGGGCGGCGGGGGGAGGTGGCGGCCCGGGGCCGTGCCCCTGCCCCTGCCCGGGGGGGCCGCGGAAGCGGCGGCGGACCACGTTCAGCCGGGGGCAGCTGTCGGAGCTGGAGCGGGCCTTCGCCGCAGTGCCCTACCCAGACATCGCCACCCGGGAGCGCCTGGCCGAGCTCACCCAGCTGCCCGAGGCCAAGATTCAGGTGAGCGCGGACGGGACCCTCCCCTCCATCCCACCCTCCCGGGGCCGGGACCTCCCCTCTTCCTCGGGGAGCTGCCCCGTCGGGCCGCTGTCCGTGTCTCACAGTTCCCCTCGCCCGTCCCAGGTCTGGTTCCAGAATCGCCGCGCCCGCAGAATCCGCAGCGCCAAACCGGAGCCTCCGCCGCTACCGCCGCTGCCGCCTCCCGGGGAGCGGGGTCCCCCAGCGGCACCCCCCGACGGCAGCACCCCGGGCCCGGCCCCTGCCCTGCCGCCGCCGGGAGCCCGCAGCCCCGCTCGGGGCCTCCCCACCTCACTGGGCTCCATCTCCGACCTCATCTACAGCGCGGCTATCACCAACCTGGGCGAGCTGTAGCCGTGGTGGGGACCCCCTGGGCACTGGGGACCCCCATGGCATCGCGGCCCCCACGGATTAGCGCCACGATTTCATTAGGGTGTGGAATTACTGCCGGCCCCGAAGGTCCCGAGGATGTCATCCAATATCCTAAATGCCGGTGCGGCTGTGGCGGGGGCAGCTCCCCATCAGCCCCCTAATACCGACTAATCTTTTGGAAAAAAATACCTTAATCTGGGGCTGTATCCACGGATGATTGTGGCACGGCCGCCCCTAATCCGCAGGCACGTTCGCAGGTGCCGGCAGATCTCCCCGTATCGGATATTAAACTGTGTTTCCACAGGGGCTTAGCTGCCATCAGAGCATTAATCACCGTGTCCGGCCCTGGCAGGGTGCCCACCCGGCAGGTGTCCAGATCTCCTGGGCCTGGCAGGGACAGCCTGGGTGCCCCCTCCCCACCATGGCTGCACTAAGCTGGCTCTGCTCTCCGCTCCGTGACACTCAAAAAGGCCCCAGGATGTGCATTAAGGTGCATCCCCTCCCTACCCCCAGAAGCTGGGTACCCTTTGGCAGAGGGTTGGGAGCACCATGCACCCCTCGCTGCTCCATCTACAGCTCCTGCTCCTCCCTGAGGCACCAAGAGCCACAGGGCCATGGCTCAGGTCACGCAGCTCCTATGTGAGGACACTGAGCTGGGTGCTGACCCCAAAGTGGCTGCACCAGACTCTGTCACCCTCCTGAACGGATCTGTGTGGATGGGGAAAGGGCTCGTCCCCAAACACCAGCTGGGTTGGGTGCTGCCATCTGAGCCTCGAGAGAATAACGGTTCCAAAAGCAAGTGAGGGATCAGACAGAGCAGAGGGCAGGCAGAGGGGGGTTTTGACATGGGATGGAGCAGGATGCGGAATGCAGAGGGAAAGGAAGGATTCACAGCTCCCTGTGGTGTCTTTCAGATGTGTGTTCCACGTACCAGCAGATGTCCCCCAACATGAAGGAAGAAGGTTACAAACACACAATGTTATTTATTTCCAGAATACAAGCACAGGAACTCCACAGGAAAAACAGGGATGGTGGGAGCTGACGCCCCTCTCCATGCTGGGGTGGTCAGAGTCCACAGCCATTCCCTCTCCTGTTCTGCAGCTGCGGGATTTTCAATCCATAATTCATTTCGGGAGCGGGAAGCAAAGGACGAGCCTGAGGAGTGCAGCCATCTTCCCGTAGCAGGAGCAGGTAAAAACAGATGGGACAAGACAAAACTGTCCCAAATTAACGGCTCCTGGGGAGGACAAAAAGCCTCCAGCACGAAGGCTGCAGTTCATGGTCATAGTTTCCCAAGGTCCCCTTCGAGGGTCCGCACCATCACGTACAGCTCGGCCAAGCCCACCACCGAGGCCACAATGACGGCTGACAGGACGCGCTGGGGACATAAAAGAGAGAGGGGTGACCCTGGGTGTGCGGTCGTGGTGCCACTCTGGACTGGGCAGCACAGTGTGCTGCAGGGAGGCCGTGCTCGCTCACCGCTGCCGTCTCTGCGAAGACGTACTGGCTGCCCAGGTAGGTGCAGGCGAAGGCGGCCACCACGGTGACAATGAAGTTGAATATGGTGATGACAACGGCCTTCACGGAGCGCACTGGGGGAGAGAAGGGGCAAGTGGTTGGTTTTAAGTAAGGCTGGGGAGTAGGGTTGGGGATAAGGTGTAATCATACTACAGAGCTGGCCAGCTGGGATACAGGAATCCCGCAGGAGTCACACGCTTGGTGCCTCCAGAAATATTGGTAAGAATGACCACCAGGCTCCTTTATTCAAGGAACACTTTAGTGTGTGAAAACCTTCTGGTGAGATATTCGGTCTGATGTCAACAGCTGGACATGGAACAGTTCCTGTGACTGTCCTGTCAGCAAACACTGCTGGGTGTCAGCAGGACAGGCAGCCGCTCACCTTGTCTCCCAAATTCAGCCAATGGCCCCTTCATCTCCTGAAAAAAGGGATTAAAACAACTTGTGATCGGTTGTATTTTAATGTTGATAATAACATGGTTATTGTGTGTGCAGAATAAAAGCAATGCCAATGCCCTGTGCTGTCCCCAGGACTCCGAGGTTCAGAGAGATTTTGGTGGGCTGTGGGGGAACAGCAGTTTCACTGCGCACAGGTTTCTCTGGGATTTTGTTTGTGGTCTGATTCAAGGCTGTTCGGAAGGGATTGTTTCTAATCAAACCACTTCTCTGAGTGGAAGCTTTTTTTTGCATGTGGGTTCTCTGCTGCAGGTTTGTCTCTTACTAGAGACATGAAAGTGTCTCACTTTGTCACCTGTTTCACACAGCTGGCAATAATGAGATGGTGTCAAGCTCTGTTGTCACATCAGGCATGGTTACACCATGATACCGGGGAGGGGCAGGGAAGATGTGATGAGCACACAGGTGTGGGAACACTGCTCTGCTCCACTGTTTGGAAGGAATGTGGCTGTTTAGCTCTGTTACAACCACCCTGGATCACAGATCACAGAATGGTTTGCCTTGGGAGGGACCTTAAAGACCATCTCGTTCCAACCCTCTGCCATGGGCAGGGACATCTTCCACTAGATCAGGTTTTTCCAAGCCTCATCCAGCCTGGAGTTGCCAAGCTTGGCAGAGACCAAAGTCTGGAGGAAATGTGCAGGGACTTGAATACACAAGGATGTCAGGTACAGTGTGGAGGCATAACAGGATGGGATCACAAGGAATGCCAGCAGGAAGGGATGCTGGCTTGTCCAAACAACTACTGTGCCAGAAAATATCGGCTCTCTCAGGAAAGGAAGAATGCTTAAATATTACCCTATTTTTTCAGCTTTTACCCTGACAAGATAATTTTAAAACTATGACAAAAATGTAAGCGGCAGGGATGCTCCCAGTCAAACATTTACCTTGGGTGCTCAGTCTCCCAGATCAGAATCTCAGATCTTTGGCACGGGTGAGCAGTTCTCAAAAGTCAATGTCTGTTCACCACCCTGTTAACCCTGTCCCACACCTGCCCTCAGCACCGGATCTGTTGTTCCTGGTGCATTTACAGCGTGCTCTCCTCCAGTCCCCGTCACATTCCCTGTGCACTGCACTCACTCTAAGGGGCAAATCTCCTTTGCTGTCAGGTTGCCACGTGTTTGAGGGATGAGTCCTGACAGCAGGCACTGCAGCAGCCCCTCACCTGGCCGGTGATGTTGCGGGTCATCCGCTGGTACTCCTCGTGTGCCAGCTTGGCCTTGATCCGCTCCAGCCGGGCCACCAGCTCGGGGTTCTGTGGGAAGCACAGACTCACCGTAAGAACCGGGGGCTGCCACCACCTCCTCCCGCGACTCATGTCCAGCCCTCACCTACCCGCGGCGGCACCGGCACTTCGGGCAGGTGGATCTCGCAGCCTTCCAGCAGCTCGTGTAGGTGCAGTGGGGACCCTGTGTGGGGTGCGGGGGGGGAAAGCGCGGTCACGGCGCGGTCACGGTGCGGTCATCGCCTCCCGCGGCGCAGTGCGGCCTACCTGCCTCCCGCAGCGCGGCGTGCACCCTCCGCAGCAGGCTAAAAGGCACCAGCGCTCCTTCTGTCGCCAGCGCCGCCTCCATATCACCCCGCAGCCCCGCGGGCAGCGCCGCCAGCTCCCCGGCCTGCACCGCCCGCCGCAGCCGCGGCCCGGCCCGCACCGACGACGCCATGTTGGCCCAGCAGCCGTCTCCAAGGCGACCGAGGGGAGCATAGAGAGGGCGGGGCAGAGCGGCGGCGCGGGGAGGGGGCGGGGAGAGCGGAGGGGGCGGTGGCGGGCGGTGCCGCGCGGTGCACTGTGGGCCGCGGGCGGTGGGATGTCGGGCGGCGCGGCGCGGCGGTACGTGGCGGCGGCGCTGGGCCGGGCTCGGGCCCGCGGGCCGCCCCCGCTCTGGGAGCCGCCTCCCGCCCGCCACCTGCGGGCCCTGGGCACCGGGGCGGGGACCGCGGCGCTCCCGCCGCTGCTCTTGCCGCCGCGGAGGCACCTGTCGTCGCGGTGAGGCCTGTGGGGGGTGGTTTGGGCCCTGGGCGGGGGGCTGAGGGAGGGTTAGGGGAGGGCAGGGGGTTGTCGGGAGGGGAGGTTCGGGGAAACAGGCGGCGAGGGGCCGCGAGGGAGTGCTTGGGAATGGGAGCGGTTGGGAAGGGGCTCGAGGCTCGCGGGGGGTGTTTGGTGTGCGGATTGAGGTTCGGGAAGGCAGGTCGGGGGGGACCGTGGGGGGTGTTTAGAAATGGGAATGATTGAGAGGGTGGTTGGGGTGCGGTGTAGGGGCACTTGGGTCGTTGGGGGAAAGTTGGGAAGGAGTGGGGAGGCCGCCGGGGGGGTGTTTGGGGATAAGGGTGATTGGAGAAGGTGGAAGCTCTCAGTGGGTGTTTGGGGAGTGGGTTGGAGGCTGTTGGGTCATTGGGGGAAGACTAGGAAGGAGTTGGGCTTGCTGAGGCAGGGATATGGGAAAGGGGATTGGGATAAAGGGAAAAGTGGATGGGGATGTGGAGGACAATTGAGAAAGGGGAGACTGGCAAAGAGTGGGGGCAGGAAGTGGGGCTGGGCAGCCCAGTGCATAGTGGGGCTCTCATGAGGGGGTGTGTGGTACCCGAGGGAGGCACAGGGTGGGAGCAGTGTCTGTGCATCACCCTGGGCTCGGGTGCTGTGTTCCCCTGCTGTGTTGCCCCTGCAAACCCTCCAAGCTGCCTCTCTGCTCCAAGGAACCGTCCGGAAGGCAAAGTGCTGGAGACTGTGGGGGTGTTTGAGGCCCCGAAGCAACATGGCAAATATGAGACCGGTCAGGTAAGGGGTTCTGGGGGCAGAGCTGACCCTGGTCATGTCACAGGGATCAGACAGCCGAGGGATTTCCCGTAAGGAGGCTGCTGTAGTATAGCAGAAGGCCAGAAGTTTCACAGCTCAGTGCTCTTTGTCTCTGCTGTGTCTGCAGTTTGTCAGTCATCTGACAATAGCAGGTCGATAAGAATCTGCAGCCCAACACAACAGCTCTACAATGACATTTGCTCCACTGAGGGTTCTCTCCTTCAGGGATCAGAAGAGACAATCTCTGAATTTAAGAAATAACAATTAAATTTGCCATTTCTGTGCTCACGACTCACAGCTCTATTTCTGAGCAGTCTCTCCTGTGCTGGTCTCCTTTCTGCTGCTCTATTACTGATTTAGTCCCCTTTTATGGGATAGATGTTACATGGGTTTCTCCTCTCATCCCTGACTGTTCATGCTCACTGTTTCTGCTTTAGTTTCTCACAGTGGTGATTCTCTCTGTATCCCCATCCCACGCATTCAAACTCTTTGTAAACATTTCTAGTTTTACCTCAGTTAACAGATCTTTTAAATATTATCAGAAAAGGGCTTTTGGCTTCATGTTTTCTATTGTATCTATGTTGATTAAAGCTTGCTGTGGATTCAACTTGCAATTATTTGTTCCTTTCAGCTCTTCCTGCACAGTGTGTTTGGCTATCGAGGAATAGTCCTGTTTCCCTGGCAAGCCAGGCTTTATGATCGGGATGTGGCTTCTCCTGTCACAGAAAAGTAAGGATTTGAGGGTTTGTTCTGGCTGATGTTGCTGTACTGTTACATTTTCATTTTGTAGCAAGTTTCCTGGTTGGGGTAAACAAATGTTTTTAAGGAGGTCAATGGTCTGTTTGCTTGAGCGTAAAGTAGGAGAGGTGCTTAAAGAGATATTGCAGGTGTATTAATTTTGTGTTAATTAGAGATGGGATGAAAGCATATGTGCGTGTGAAGAAAATAAAAAACAATTAAAAATTCATGCTCCTGGCATTTTGCTTTATAAAAAAACCACCCATTTTGAATTAGCTCCAGGTTCCTGTGTTACAAATTGCAGGCTGCTGCTGCTCCTTCTGTAAACTGCCAGTGAGTTGGATTTGTCAGCCTCCTCCCCAGTTTCAACCCACTAGGCCAAGTTCATCCTTCTTGAGTTGCTATTCGGTTCTCTCCCCTCTTGCATCCCTTTCCCTGTGATGAGGTGTGCTAGGAAGGAATAAGGATCAAGCATAGGAATACCCATCCCAGAGAGGAGACTGGACTGAGCAGGAAGAACCTCTGAGCTGCCTGACAACAGAGCTGTTGTGTCTCTGCCAAACACTGTCAGTGTGCATCTTGGCTGATCTGTCTGTAATTGTGTGGGTGGCTGACAAGGATTTGGTTTGGATGGAATCAAATGTTTACAGACTGTTAAATGTATTTTTTTATGTTTAAAAAACCATTGTTTGTGTATGTGCTTGGTTCTGGTAACAAGAAATTGCTGCAATCCTGCACTTGAGCTCAGAGCTCTGCTTTTCTGTTTAGGAACGAGAATGTGGCAGGCCATGGGTCCAAAGAGGTCAAGGGCAAAACACACACTTACTACCAGGTGTTAATAGATGCCCGGGATTGTCCACATATAGTAAGTAAGGAGTAAACTTGGTATTGAAACTCAAGTGTCTTCTTATATGTGAGTGGGTCAGGTGGACAGGCACTGAAAGAAAATGGCTGTGGTGGCTAAATTTGGCTAGGACAAATTCGTTCTTCAAGACATATTTTCCCTGAGAAAGGTACACTGGAATGTCATATGACTGTTTTCTGGATCATGTTTCCCCTTTCCAGCCTCCTTTCCTCATCCTGTTATCGTTCCCACTCTGTTGCATGCACATTGTGAATGTGGGTTGCAGCACTGAAAATGCTCCTCACTTGTTAGTCAGTCTAGAGGAATGAAAAGGAGAGGTGTTCTGAGGTGAATTGGTTAAATAAACATTTCACGCTTTACAAACCACAACAGTAAACTGAAGCATGGCTGGAAACTGGCCCACAACAATCCACACAGAAAGACATAAGCTTCCCTTTTTCTCAGTCCCAGAGATCACAGACGGAAGCAGTGACGTTCCTGGCAAATCATGATGACAGCAGAGCCCTCTATGCCATCCCAGGTGAGCAAAATCCTCCTTCAGCCTCTGATTGTTGTGAGGGGAGGTCAGAAGAGTCATCAGTGGTCAGCTCCTGCCAGCAGCAATTCCTACAAGACATTCCTGTTGTGGATTTGTCCGTAGTTTAGGGCCGGGCAGGAAACAACTGAGTGACTA